TTCTTTCAATTTTTTAAGATGAAAAATCTAACAACTCACATTAGAGTCATCCCATTTTCCATTTTTTAGTTATAAAATCTAACTCGAATTGAAAAACCACAGCATAAATTTCTTTAGTAATTCACTCTTTTTGAAAAACTCGCAGTTAGGTCGAGTGGTAGTGCAATATTACGAAGAGCGACCACTCGGTGAAGAGTTGGCCGATTTTCTAAGGATTACTTACAAGCAAGCTCATGACAGTTTCTCATTACTTTATCGATATCAAGACTAGATCTCTTTTGCTATACATTAACCTTGCAAATAGTTATGCAAGCGCCGAATGACAGCATTAGGCTGTAATATAAGCAGAATATAGTACATTGCTTTGACTCGTACAATGGATCTCAAAATGTCCTCTTCCTAACATTAAACCGTATCTGAATCCTGAGCACGTACTTAAAGCAAGTTTGCATTTTAAGTAAATTACAGTTTGCATTCTAGGTGAAAGTCTTCGAATTTTGCTGTAATTTACTTACTTGTTTTGCACTCGGCATCACCTTTTTCTTGCACAGCTAGAGAAACGCATTCAAAACATCTCTGTTGATAAATCACGTAAGTACTTCAGACTACGTTAAATTACGTCGCACTACTGGTACTTAACATACTCTGATTTTATTTAGCATTAAATGCAAAGGATTAACTTATGAGCCAAGGAACTAGGTTACCTGAACGTGTATGAGAAAAGCTAGGTCGCTGTACAAATCATTGAGTTCTTGAATACTTGCTTCCAAATTCAAAATTTCGTTATGCCTCGAAGTAGCATCATCCAGAGCTGATCTGACTGCTGTTGAACGAACACTCCTGCAACTGTGCTAAAATAGCATGTTCATTTTGCAGTAAGTTATGATCCCATTCCTTCGTCAAATACGAGCTCTTTACCACAGATTCGGCGTTTATTGCACTTAAGCTTATTACATGCTTCTAAGTACCAGGCTTATTACAGTCACGATACTTGTGTATGCATTAGAATCAGAAAAATTTTCCACTTTTTTGGAAAAAAAGCCCCGGTTGTTTGAATTATGAC